TAGCAATAAACGAACCTTTCTTATATCGTCAAAATGATCGCAATAATATAATGCCGCTTCAATCCATGCAATCCATCTTGTCAGAACAGGTTCTGAAGGTAATGGACAATTCGGTAGGGTTTCCCAGAAAACTTGGATCCTCAAATGAGGTTTAAGAAATACTTTTTGTTGGAAATAAAACCATTGACACCTTCATAGTGATTCCGGATAACTACAGCTACTAAATTTAAGGCGTGAGCCAAACATGTTACATGAATTAAGTTGAGATAAAATTTTGACTTTTGATCTTCACTTTACGAAAACCCAACACGAACTAATACAGGAAGAAAACTGTAAAAGAAAGTTGTAGGAGGGCTTGGTGCATCAAAGCTCTTCCCAGAAAAGTAAGGATTATAAAATATGGCTGACGTAAATGTTTGTGGTAAGATGATCTGTTGGGTTTGTAATAATCCAGCAATTAGAAAAAAAATATATTTGGATGTTTGTAAAATTTGGTCACATATCAGTTGTGCAGAGAAAAAGAAGTGCTGTGAATTTTGTAATTCAAGTCAAACTCCAAATACAGAAGATCCCAATTTACTAAAATGTCTAATTTCTACGATAAATTCATTGAGTGATATGGTAAGAGACGTGAAGAAAATTATCAATGACCTCGTTCGAGAGAATAAAAAATTAAGACACGAAATTCAGCAAATGAAAGCTGAAAAAACACAAACCAACACACCGACTCAGATAGCATCTCAGATGAACGAATTTTTTCAAGAAATTTTGGAAATACAATATTGGGCTCTCTGGAAGCTGCAGAGAATTGCAAGATTTTAGATAATCGAGATAGGAGTTTAAAATTAATATCAAACACAGGAGTGAAAGAATCAAAAAAGATTGTCAGATTGGATAAAGTATCTGAAAAACCACAGTTAACGGACTTTATTTGAATCGAGATTTAACACAGATGCAACAAAATGTGGCATATAATGTTCGCAAAGGGTTTAAATCACGTTTTAAAAAGGGTGAAAAGGGCATCAAGATTAGATATTTTAATGGAATTCCAAAAATAATAAAAAAAGCAGTACTAAATTCTGAGCTATTTCCTTAAAATTATACAATACATCCCTGTGACAGAAAATTATCTCCAAGAGGAGGTGTTCTCATTGTTATACATATATAAATGAACAATATCCAAGTAGTTTTGTAACTTTATCGTCACCGATACAAGAGTGTGAATTAGTTGCTGAAAAAATATTACTTCATGGTTAACATTTTATAATTATTTCCATGAATATTAAACCGTAGTACCTGAATAATTGTATGTAACTTTTGGGATATTTTGAATCGACGATTGATTAGATACCTAGTGCTTATAACTGGGAATTTTAATATTACGGAATTTGCAGACTATCTAAATGGAACCAGGACGACACATTTTTTTGATATCTTTGGTCATTTTCTTTCTCTTAATAATCGTATACAGCACAATTTTGTTTTGAACTATAATCTACGACTTTTAGATCTTGTTCTTTCTACCAGTGACATCTCTTCTAGTACTTCTAAACATCAACATCCTTTACAAATTAATTCAGGCGCAACTTGTCTGAATTTTCCCGACACTCGCTGGACTCGACTTGACTGAATAATAATCGTTCCCGAAGGTGTCCCCTATTTAAAGCCATACTTCCCTTCTAGAAGTTCCGCAGCCGAGGTCTTTCTGGATTGCACATCGCGACTTCCGCTTTCAGGCTTATCTATTACGAATGCCGCCCGGCCCCATCACCGGCGATGAGTCATCATCGCCGTACATACTAGAACCCATAGGCGTCGTACCGGGGCGGCGTATGGGTTTCTTTCGTAACACTGCCCCCTCCTTAGTTCTGATCGTCCCGATCAGAAACGTCGACGGTGTCACTGTTGTACTTCATGAGGCGGTCTAAATGAACAACGTTGATTCTCGTCACGACAGCGTATAGACCTTCCCTTTCCTGGAATCCTGCTGAGTTAACCTTGAGGTCGTAGTGTGTTTTCATTCAGATCTTGTGGCGCACCGTTTCGAGAACACTCAGCAACCTCTCTTTCAAGTGATCGACGTAATCTATGGCCTCCTTTGATTGTTCACTCGGAGAGCCGAACAAGATGTCACAAGGTAGACGAAGTTCTCTTCAGAAAACTGTGCGTGCTGGTGTCTGACCTGTCATGTCATAGACGGCTGATCGATAAGCGAGTACGAACAGTGGAAGGTGTCGATCCCAATCTTTCTAATGTTCGGCCACCCCCTTCGAAAGGTGTTCTTTGATGATTTCATGATTGAATCGTTCTACCATTCCATGCATGTGGGTGCAATGGCGTAGTCCGGGTCTTCTGTATCCTTAGAACTTCAGTAACCCTTTGGAATAGGTTTGACTCGACGTTTCTGCGTTGGTCCGAATTCAATTCCATTGGGACCCCAAACCTGCTGATCCAATTGTCAATCAGCATTTTTGCAACCGTCGTCACCTCTTGGTTCGGTATGGCATAAGCTTTGGGCCATTTGCTGAAGTAATCGCTGACGACCATTATGAACTTATTCCCGTCTTCGGTCACCGGGAAAGGACCTGCTATGTCCACTGCAACTCTTTCGAAAGGCGAACCAACATTGTATTGTTGCATCGGCCCATTCGCCCTAGTCCTCGGCCCTTGACTGCCGCACAGGTTCTTACACCAACTCTCTTCATCTTCTCGGCAATGGACCCAGTAAAATCTCTCCCTAACAGTAGAAAGCGTCTTGTTGATTTCAAAATGAGTACCAGAACCATTGTGCATCTCTAGAAGTACTTTCTTGATTCTGGTGGCCGGAACCACCAACTGCATGGTAGTATGGACTCTCCTAAGCTCGCTTAAGCAATCCATTCTCAACACGCAGGTCGTTCTACCCCATCTTCTTTCCATTTGAGCAACGACCCGATGCCCACGTCCTCCTCTTGGTCTTTTCTAAGCTGAGGTGTAGTCCATTCTTCATCTTCTATAACTGCTACAGGTGAACGACGTTTTACGCTGCTCGATCTTGTCGCAATTTTTGCAGTTCCTACACGGTCTTCTCAACAATCAGTTCGCCTTATTGTGGAGCTTAGCAGCCCTGTGTCGAATTCTGAAGTGATACTGTTGGAGTTGATCAAGCCATCTAGACACTTGTCCTTCGGGACTCTTCATCTGAAGGAGCCATGTGAGGGTTGCGTGATCGGTTCTAATCAGGAATTCGCGTCCATAGAGATACTTATGGAAGTGTTCAACAGCCCTGACAATCGCCAGCAACTCCTTCCTCGTAGCACAGTAGTTCTTTTCAGGTTTCGAAAGTACGCTGCTGCTGAAGTACTCGATAACTTTTTCTTCCTTGTCCTGCACCTGTGACAATACAGCACCTATCCCGATGTTGCTCGCGTGTGTATGCAAAATGAATACTCCCAATAAGTGAGGATAGAACAAAACAGGACTAGAGCATAGTGCATTCTTCAATCTTTTGAAGGCTGCCTCATATTCAACAGTCCAATTAAATTGAGACTTCAAATCCGTCAGCCTGTGCAGAGGAGCAACAATATCAGCAAACCCGTTGACAAACCTTCTGTAGTAGGTGCACAATCCCAAGAAACTCCGGACTTCGTGCTTATCTCTTGGTCATGGTCAATCGCGAATTGCACTGATGTTTGCTCCGGTAGTCTTGATCCCGTTTGCCGAAACAGTATGCCCCAGATATTCTACTTCTTTTTGGAAGAGGAGCGCTCCTCAAATGTCTTTCCCATTACCATGATGTCCTCTAAATAAACCAAACATGTTTTTCATGTTAGCACTCGTAATACCACCTCCATTAGTCTCTTAAAAGTAGCCGGAGCATTACACAGTCCAAAAGGCATTATTGTAAATTGATACAAGCCGCTCCCGGCAGAAAAAACGGCCTTTTCCTATCTTCTGGATTACCAACTTGCCAGTGGACACTTTTTAGCTCTAAAATCGAAAACCAGGCGGATCCTAATAATTCGTGGAAGCTGATAACTGTCCTTTGTTACATCGTTTAGTTTCCTATAGTCTGCGCAGAATCTCGTCAACCCATTTTTTTAGTGACTAGCACTACAGGCGAAGACCACAGACTGTTTGATTCCTCTATAACGCCGTCATCCAGCATTTTCCGTACAAGTTTCTCGGCCTCTTCTTGTTTTGCAAAAGGTAATCTTCGCGGAGCTTGACGGATATTTGCGCATCGCCAGTGTTTATCCGATGTAGCACTATGTTTGTGCCCCCAGAGGACTCTCCAGATGCAAACTATATTACGTTGTTGGTCGGTTAGATGACCAAGTTCTAGGGCAGTAATTTCTAAGTTGCTTTTCTTTCTTAATTAGTTATCAGAAAGACCTTCGTTATGATGAACTATCTTCGTGGCTGGTTCACAGACGGCAAGAACCTCCCCACTCATGTTCATAGGTTTAGGAAAAACATTTGCGACGCGTACAAGTATGCCATTTTCGGTATTGATTAAATCACTATCAATCATGAGATTCTTCTCGGGGGTGTCCGGTGGTTGAATAATACCTGGGGCTAAACCGGGTTTGATTTCTGCTCTAACTGGAAGAATCGTTTCTGCATTTCCTCTGATATTCACATTCTGGTACGCGATCAGTCTTACAGGCTTGGAATCAATACTGTGCTGATTCAGGATAAACTCTTTATTCCCAAAACGTAGGATTTTCTTCGCTGAATCGACCGTCAATCCATGGCAACTAATCAAACCCATTCCCAAAATAAAACCGTCCCTTGTTTTATCTTCAGCTGACCAATCCAGATCTCTACCTCTGCTTCACCCATGATTGGCATCAACTCTCCAGTCACGGTCTTCAATCTGATTGTTTCGCGTATGGTCCTTAGATCTTTAGTTATCAAGAGTCCTTCCCCGGTATAGTTGGACTATTGCCTTTAGTGAAACTGCCTATTTTTACTTCCCTGCACATCTCGTTGAGGAGATCTGTGTTGTGTGCTTCTCCTTAGAGCTGGTGATCGAGCACGACAATGGCGTTTGAGATGTTCCTGGCGCCCACATCTATAATACTCCACGATTTTCTTAGGAGGCGCAACCGTTCTGTTGTCCTTGACTTAGGCCATTTATTATTTGCTGTTAATTCTGCCACTCTGACTTTGGGACACGTTCTTGAAGAATTGTGCGCCGCCTCCACTTCCAGCGCACGAATTAGATGATATATCAAATGATATGTGATACGTTGATACTTCACTGTCGCGAATGCCATTTACAAAAGTTGCAGCAATTAGTTTACATAACTTTAGTTGAAAATGTATTAATACTGGTTTTTTAAAACATTTGGGCATTATTATCCTCAACTAAATTGTGACCAAAAATGTCTGTTAAGTCTTGTTAATGAAAAATCTTTAATGAGTAGGAGGAATCTGGATAGTTTAGTGTTTTTACAAAAAATTTTGAATTAGACAATAAAAAATAGTGACCTTGTTAATCAAATAAATATAAGTGTTAACAGGAATGTAACAGTGTGTAATAGTGTGTCTAGTCGTCTTAATGATAATTTTGTATTTAATGCAAAACGTGTCAAGTAACAAAGTGAGAGATGATATTCGAAATCTTAGAAATAGTAACTCTTGTGATATTTATGGTATAAACTCAAGACTACTCAAATATATAATAAATGTAATTATCTCTCCTCTCACTAAATTAATTAATTTGTGTGTCAGTAAGTGTACATTTCCTGATTGTCTAAAACAAGCTGTTGTGATCCCGCTATATAAAAACGGCAACATGAATGACTCGTCTAATTTCAGACCCATTTTCTAAAGTATTAGAAAAAATACTTTTCGATCAACTGAACCAATACTTTGAGAATAATAATCCCTCCTCCAACTCACAATTTGGCTTCAGGAAAAATCGTGGTACTGTGGATGCAGTACTTGAATTCACCGATTTTATTCACACATGTTTTGAAGAAGGCAAGATTGGAGTGGCATCATTTTTAGACCTCTCCAAGGCATTCGACTGTGTCAATCATGAAATACTAATAAAAAAAATTGCAGTTTTACAAACTACATTATAATAGTTGCAGTTTATTAGAAAATTACTTAAAAAATAGAACGCAATTGATCAAATTTAATGGAAAAGTATCCAAAAGACTTCCAGTAAATTTAGGGGTCCCCCAAGGATCAATACTAGGTCCAATTCTGTTTTTAATCTACGTGAATGCTTTATCTTCTGGCTTAACAACGCATTCAATTTTATACGCAGATGATACCACCATGGTAAATAAAGCACCATCGGCACAAACTGCTTACACAGTCAATGCAACCGCACAGTCCACTGCCATGGAATGGTTTACTGCCAACAATTTAACTCTAAACATCAATAAAACTGTCAACATGTTATTCTCACACAAAAATGATACTACTCCTCCAACCTTTGACCAAACAGTCAAATTTTTGGGCATGCATCTAGACTCCAAATTAAGATGGAATATCCATGACGAAAATGTAGCAAAAAAAATTAGCAAAAATATATTTCTTCTAAGTAGCCTTAAGAATCAGTTATTTCTACATGATCTCCGTACTTGTTATTTTTCCATATGCCAATCACATCTCCAATATGGCCTTTTATTATGGGGTCAGACTACTATAAGACCTCGTCTGTTTGCTCTACAACGAAGGGCATTGAGAATCTTAGCGGGCACTGGATATCGAGAGGACTGCAGGGATGGTTTTAGACGGTTAGTTATTTTAAGGTTGCCCTCTTTGTATATTTTTACTTGTTTAGTGTATGTTAAATGTCATTTACACAAATACTTGTCTCAAAATGATAGTCACCGATATTTTACCAGACATGGTGACAACTTATGTACGAAGCGAGTCAGACTAACTACATCTCAGGACGGTGTTAACTATTTACCTGTCAAATTCTATAATAAAATTCCTACTACTGAAAGAAACTTGCCTCTGTCCCTTTTTAAAACAAATGTCAAAAGTTTTTTAATAACAAAATCATACTACGATTTTAAGGATTTCTTAAATGACGAACTGCGTGTATAGATTTAATCATTTTTCTTTTTTAAGTTGGACCTGTACATAAAACAATTGTTTTACCCTGTATGAATAAAGTTATTATTATTAAGCAGAGTGCCTCTAACTATTTATTAATTATTCCTAACTAATTGTATTAATCACAAATATGATATTATGAAGAATTAGTGATTTGCTACAACCAGTGACATTTGTTTTGTATATTTTAATTTTAATTTCCAATGTGTTTACCGTATGAATTGATAACGTTTTTCTTTTTTGTTTGTGTATTTTGTGTCTTTTGTCAAGCATTATGTTCCATTGTGGACAATTTGTCTGTTGGAAGAATAAAATCATTATTATTATTATTAAGAGACAACTTTTGTCGGGATCCGTAAATGGATATTTTAATTGTTTTAAAACCTACCTACGTACTTGGCTGTACCAAAAAATTTGTTCTCTGATGGTTTACGCAGAAAAATAAATTTGGATTACTGAACTGTCAGTATTTTGCTAACGGAATTCCCGCGACCCTTTCACCCAAAACTCGAGTTGGATTATATTTTTTATCGCCAACCGGCAATAGAGACATGCATTCATTAAGCATTACCATAGCGATTTTCGGAAGTAAACAAACACTTTATTTTACTGTAAAAATCAAGCACTTAACCTGCCGCTCATAATTGTCAACATAACCATGACTGTCTGACATTCTGTCTGTCACTGTCACGGTTCCAACGAGAAAAGTTCTGATACTATTGCAGAGTCCTATGTTGAGGAATCTGTGCTCAATAAAAAGAAAATCGCAGAGACAATTTTAGGTGAAAGTCAAACTGACAACATATTTGTTACCAATGATAATTTTACTCAAGATTCACCTAATGAAATTATTAGCACGGCTAATCCTCAAACATTTTCACTTCAAACTCCATCGACTTCAGGACTCAATTTTTATAATCCGTCAGGTTGTACATTTACATTTAATATAACAAGTAATAAGTAGATATCTTTTGACTCATTGTTATTGTACGTTTACTGTCATAATAAAATGTGATAAGTCATAACATTTCCATTATTTTTAATTATAAATTTTTAAGGTTGGCGATAAAAATTTGTATGCACCACGTCAGTAAAGGATCTTTATCGAACTCGCCTGTTACTCGCCTCGCTCGCTCGGCTCATAATCTCAGACTCGTTCGATAAAGAATCACTTTACTGACTTGGTACATAAATAACTATTATAGTACCGGAAATATTAAATGTGACCTTCCCAGGAAACATGTGCTTAAGGGTATAGAAAATTCGGACTTTAGAACAAAAGCAGCAGAGAAAAAAAAGTAAAATAGATCGAAAAAATGCAAAAAGGCACTCATGATAAAAAATGGGCAAATATTTATATACAAGGCATTTCCCTAGAATCCGCTCTTTAGTGATCATTCGGAAATATTACTTGGAAAAGTGTCTCGAAGGTCGAAACACGCAATTTGGAATAACGACCACGAAAGGCATATCGTGACCGCTCCTAAATCTCCAGTTCTACATAAATTTGATAAAATGCAATTTGTGCTCAGGGCGGTTTAATTGAGCGTGGCGTGCAGGGTTACACGAATAATTCGCCATTTTTAACTCACCCTCGAAGTTTCATTGCGATAAATTATATGGTAACACAGCCTAAATGGCTGCACTCGATAGCAGCGATTTTCAATGTTAAATTTGATAAGATCCATATTATAATATTTTCGCTCTAGCAGAAACGCAAGCTTGGAAAATATGTCACCCGCCGAGACAATGCAAACTTCGCCAGCAGAAATTCGTCCATACATAATCCGATAAAGCCTATAAAAGAAAACAAAGACTTGCGATGTTTTAGGAATATATCAAGAGAATTTCATCGAAGTTCGGAAAATGTGAAGGCGCTCGGAAGGACAGTTAGGAAAGTGAACGAGTTGATGGCCTGAAAATGATCGTTTTTCTCCTCTTATTCCGCTAAGAGAAACATGAGGAAATATTTTTGTTTGAGATAATGCTCGTAAAGGTAACAGGCCGATGTATAAGTTACGAAAGTCTTTCGTGTGAAGGGAAACCCTCTCGAAGTGTGGAAATATAAATATTCATTGTGAACAACGAAGGATAGAATACATTTTTCTGCTATATTGAACATAAACACCTCCGGCTGATATATAACAATATTAAATAATAAAGTTTAACTGAAACACAATATTCTTTGTTACACGATTACATTAGCTTTGTGTGAGTAGGTGTACATATCATGTCCGAATTTTTAAAAAAATATATAAATTTCAAGGTTTTATCTGGTTAAACTTCCAAATAGCAGTCGCAGGTATTTTAATGTGCACTTGCTCGAAAACGCGCATTAAATAGAAATTAATTTAATTAAAGGTCCGTTTACACTAGACAATCAGAAAGTGGAATAAAAATAATTGAGGACGCAAATTTAGCAAACAAATTTAGCAAACAAAAAAAAAAAGTGGGCGAAGGTTATTTCGACAGAACTTCCCTCGCTCAACTTTATTGACTTAAATCTTTCAATTTTTAAATTTTTTATTTATTTTTTTTTCTTTAGTTTTCCGATGCTAATTCTTTTCAGTCAATTTTTCGATCTTTCGTTTAGACTTTTTATTTTCTTTATTTTTTCAATTATTATTATTCGTATCTTTTAGTGTTTCGATTTTATAATTTTTATTTTCTCAATTTCAATTTTTTCTGTTTCTCGTGTCTTCAGTTTGTCGATTTGCGATTTTTGTTCCGTTTTTTTTTTATTTTTACAATTTTTCGATTGTTGAAGGTTCCGACCTTATAATTTTCTGTTTTTTCAATTTTAGTTTTTTCAATTTTTCGATTTGCAATTTTTCAATTTTTCATTTTTTTGTATCTTCAATGCTACGATATGCAACTCTCGAGTTTTCATCTGTTTTCCAACTTTTGGATTGCAGTTTTTCGATCTGTAATTTCAAGAGTTTTTAATTTGAAATTTTCGAATTTTTCGATTTTTCAATTTTTCCTTTTATTAATTTTTCGATTTGCAGTTTAGCGTTTCGGTCTTTCAATTCCTTTATTTTTTCAATTTTTCGGTTGTTCAATGTTTTGATCTTAGAATTGTTTTTTTTATGGAAAATTTTCAATTTTTTAATTTTACAGTTTATCGGTTTCCAATTTTTCAATTTTAATTTTTCGTTTTTCGATTTTAGATTTTTCGTT